CCATAACATTCTTATAAAAAAACTCAAAAGTTATAGTATTAAAAGTACATATTTAGAATGACTCAGAAGTTATCTAAATAATAGAAAAGAATACATTTCACATTAAGAAGGAAAAATTGATTACATGACTATAACTTGCGGTGTTCCTTAAGGCTCAATTTTACTCACTTTATTTTCTTATTTAGTTAAACGATTTCCATAAGTTTTCAAACATTTTAAACTCAGTTTAATTTGCAGTAACACGAATTTATTTTATTCTAATGGAGATATCAACCATTTATTTAAAATAGTAAAAAAGGACCTTTTTAATCTAGCGGAATTGTTTAAGGCAAACAAATAGAGTCCTTAAATTTAATTAGAACAAAAAAATACTCTTTTCCACAAACTTTATGATAAAGAAAATATTCTATTAAAATATCCTGATCTTTATTTTGGCAACTCTAAATTAATTAGAGAGTGATCATTAAAGTTTTTACGAGTGATAAAACGGAAACTTGTCATGGAGAGAATACATAAGAACAATAGAAGAAAAAATTTCAAAAAATATTGGCATACTATACAAAGCTAAGTAAATATTAAACCAAAACTGCTCAAAAACCTTATATTTCTTCTTCAGAAATTGTTATATAAAACATGCAAGATTTGCATGTGCTGCTCTAATGTAAGTAAAATTAAGAAATTAGTTGAGAAAAATTCTATACGATTAGTAGAGAAAAACATGCCGTCAAAATTATTTAAAGTGAGAGTCGACTCACGCATTCTAGAGACCTATTTAAAAACCACCACAAACTCTTTGTTTTTTAGATAAACTATTGTTAAGTTACTAATTTCAACTAATAAAATTGTATGCTTCTAATCTAAACTAATAAAATTTTATGCTTACCTTTTAATGGCTGTAGACAATTAGTAGCTAATGAAACATCGTCGGGGAGTAGTGATAAGGCATTATACATTTGTTAATCGTTGTATAGCTTTAAATAACCAACAATAAAAATAATAATATAAACTTGCAATCATAGAAAATATAACAAATATAAACAAGGTATCTGAAAGAAAATCGCAAACATCATGTCGTCAGAACCTTAAATGAGCATTTAACAGATAAGTTTAAAAAAAAAATAATAATAAACTTTTACAAAACTGCATGGTAAATAATCTGTCTGAAGAAAGATCGAAAAAATCTTTTAAGTAGTACGAAAATGCCGATTCTGGCTCATTTTATTTTACCCATATTTTCAACCAAAATTTTATGAATTTTTATAACTATATTCTTAACTATAATTTCTGGCTCATTGTCATAGAAATTAAAAAAAAAAACTTTTTAAATCTGGGTGTATCACAACCATAATTTCTGGCTCATTTTTATTTTTAACCATATTAGTAACCATATTAAATAATTTTTTTCAAGTAGTGTTATAACTATAATTTATGATAAAAAAAAAAAAAAATTAAAAAAAAAAAAAAATAAATTTTTGTAAGAGACATTTTCACTTTGATTTATAAACAAATAGTTATGTAATTATTTTTAGTTACATTATTATTATTATATTTTTTATTTGTCATTTAAAAAAAAGTATACAATGCCGTGTTATATAAACAAAATCTACATGACCGGGGCTAAAATAAGACAATATTTGCCTTATCACTACACCCCGGCGTGCTTTCATCAGCAAGCGTGTATAACCATTAAAGTGTAAACATAAAACATAAAATTACTTTGTACCATTTAAAAATTATATACAAATATATACAAATATGTTAAGATCAGTTACTTATCTATAATCAAAAGAAAATTGTAAAAACAAAAAAAAACAAAAAAAAGAAAAAAAAAAGCAATCACACTTAAACACTGAAGATAAGCTAATAGGATAACTAAAGAAAATTTAAATTGGTTAGACTAGTTAATGAGATAGTTGTTAAAAAAGAAGATAAAAGAATCTTAAAAAGAACTTAATTCATTAACATCGTTAAGAAGTTTTTGTTTGAGTTTTTGTTTAAATAGAGAAAGTGAAGAACAATTTTTCAGCTGGTTATTTAATAAAATGTTCTATAATTTAGGACCTCTGATGGCAAAAGAAAATTTAGTAGCCAAATAATATTGTTCTTTTCATATGGATTGCTATCAAGTTTTTATAAAATATTGTTCTACATTCATAGTTAGGTTTAGATGCTAATTTAATAGCTTCTTCTCTTTTAGTTACTTATTTAACAATGGAGACTAATCTAACATTGGAAAAACAATGGAGGATATTGAAAACAGAGTCGATCTGTTTTCAATATTCTCTATTGTTTTTCCAAATACTGAGTTGTTCATCAAGTTTAAAAAAGTCCTTAGTTGCTTTTATTCTTAGATTTGTATTTAATTCAATGCATTCACTCAACCATGCTCTTTCTTCAAACTTTACACCTATATGAATTTTTGTAATTTTTAATCCTAGTCTTTCATACAACTTCAGATTTTTATAATGAACTATATAATTTTTCTTATTATTCAAATTAGGTATTAATTTTTCTACATTAGATTTAGAGGATCCATAAGAACTAGTAATAGCTATTCTTTCAGGTGCAAGTGGATAATTATTTTGAGCACCATGTAGATTTTCAAGATATTCTAAATCAACTTATAATATACATGAAATAGATTTCTAGTTTTTCAACGTATTTTCAACCATCCCCTCAAATCAATGAGTAGGAAGTTGTTAACTCATAGCATCTAAATTAGCATACAAACACTGCATTTAAGTACATTCTTTACTTTTATCATATGCATCACCCATGTACTTATTATTAGAAGTTCCTAATGTATTGGAGATCATACTAATTCCACCTTTTATTCTTTGCTTTATCATTAAGATAATATCATAATCACTTAACAACTTTAGTTGTGTTTTTGGTTTCTTTGTTACTGTATCTCAAGCTAATCCTGGTGAAGTAAAGTACCAAGCAGGATCTAGTTTATAAAAATTAATGCAAACATCTGTAATATTTTCAAATACATCAGCTAATAACAATACATCTGAAATATTGTATAAATTATGGTAATCTCTAAATATTTCACAATTTAACTCTTTCCAAAAAGTTTGTGCATGTAAATAATCTTTATCACTAATACCTTCATCATTTAATCTTGAAAAGAGTGTTTTTTTTTTTAATGGCATTTCTTTTTCAGACAATTTATCAAAAGAATTTACCCAATCATATGGATTTACACCTTTTCTCAGTAACAAATCTAATTTTTTACCTGGAGATAATTTTCCAATATTCTTACATAGTTCCTTTGTTAAATTCTTAGAAAAGCTATCTAAAATAGAAGCCATAAATCTATAACTATCAACAAAACGTAGTTGTTGTTTAACTTAATTTTACCATTTTTAGTATACTCATCAACTTAAAGTTCTTTACGAAAGCTAATATACTTTTCTTCATCGTTTGGTATACAACTTATTTTTTTCTTTCTGATTTTTCTCCTGACAATATCTTTATAAACAAGTGACAATCATAACCAGATAAATTATGAAAAACTACTGGAATGAATTTCGGAATTTTAGATTTTAAATTACAGTCATTATGAGTAAATATCATCTTTTTCGGAAATTTAATGTTGTCGTGATAAATCGTTTTGATATTAGCTTTTAAGCTATCAACAAAAATTTGTGCAATATCATCAGTTTTACTACATGCAGTAAATGTGACTGGACTGCTTTGATATACACTTTCATCAAAACATTTAATATAATAACAGAATGAACTTGAGTATGTGTTTTATATTTTTTAGTATAATTAAATTACTTGGATTTAGTGTAGAAGTGTTTATAGGTGTAACAAAACTTTCAAAGTCAACATACACTACAAATGGTACTCACATAGATTTATTGTGATTAATAAGCAACATTGTTGAATTTAGTTTTGGAAGTTCAATACGCACTAAATAATTAGTGTGATTGTAAGGCTCAGTGGATTTTTCAGGATTCTTAAAAAAGTTTTCTATTTTACCAGCATTAAGAGATGAAAGACAGTCTGTGCTTAATTTTTGCTGCCACAGCCGCGAACCGCAAACTATGCAATAAAATTTACTAAATACATAACCACTAAGATACACAATAACATTTTTTTCTCAATCTGTAAATTCAGAATTCAAAAAATCGTTTCAATTTATAAAAGAATTAATGTAAAATGAGTTTGTAAGAAACGCTAAAACATGAATATATTGATTATAGCGAAGAAGTCTAGTTGTTTTTTTGGTCAGATTGTTAATGAAAACTCCTTATTTATAAGTAATATCTTTTTAAAATTGAGAACAAAAAGATGATGCGGAAAAACATTTCTACATTACCTTTAGCTTTAAAATTAGCTATTGTTATCTTTAATAGCAAAAATATTTGATGTGAAGTTACTATTAGCATTGCATTTTTAATTTTCAACTCGTTTCTACTTTTATAAAAAATTAAATAATAGATTTTACCTGTGTAAAAAAAAATTGTAGAGAAAAAATATTAACTACTGATTCTTGTTTTTCAAAATAATATATGAATTTAAAACTTTTAGAAAATGCTTAATTATTAATTTAACATATAGGTGTTTTGCTTTAGATGTTGCTAGGCTCTTGTAAAATTTAATACTGGGCAAAAATGCTTATATTTATTGTTTTGTATTATTAATATCGGGTATTATATTTATCCTAATGAACTCAATTTTTCAGGTTTTGGCCGTAATTGTAATATTTAATATCTTCACTTCCAACAAGGCCTGTAAGCAACCATTATTAGAGTTGGAGCAAGTGGATCAATAATAATTAATAAGAAAGTGAATTAATTTTTAAAATAATATTATGTTTCAACATTCAATAAAATATTTGAATAATGTGTAACACCATTAGACTCATAATAAATAAGATTAATTGTTGAGTATTTTAATTCTTAATAATTTGGAAACATTTTGTTTTATTTTGTGCATGACAGCTTCTCTTTGTAGTTAAGGTTGCTTAAATAACTTTTTTTTAGCTTCGAATGTGACTTATTGCATAAATGGTGAAAGTGATTCTTATTACATCTATAACACATCCACTTGGAATGTATTTAATAAAAGATATACTTTTACAAATTCTGATTTTAATGTAATTTTTTATATATTCTATTTTCGAGTACCAACTCTTTTTGAATTAAAATAGAAGCGTTCATTTTTTATTTAATTATTATTGAATTTAATTTAGTTTACTGTGTATTATTTACTTTATTCATTAGACCATATAATTTCTAAAATGATTCATTTAATTAGTTAATTATAATATATATAATAAATAATTAAAAAAATGATAGTAATAATTATAATAAATATTTTTGTAAATAATTATGTAGTTCATTTTGAATGCGTCTGGTGGGTTCATGAGGTTTGATGATCTATGCATTTATCAAGGTAATGTCTACTTTATAGATATAATATTTAATAAAATATTTTAATAAAGTATTTTGCATTGTTATATTTTAGTTTAAATCATGACTTTTTAACAATCCTTATACTCGTTAGTTGACATTTTCATTAACTTTTAAACTATCCAGTTCAAATCCATATCCAAAAATTTTTAGCAACCCAGATACTGCTCAGTTGACATTTCCAATAAATATATGTTTTTAAAAACCATAAGTACTCAAAGAAATAATAAGGAAATATTTCTAAAAAAAATTTTTCACTAAAACTACTTGACATATTTAGATATAAAAATGAATTACCATTTCTTTTTATATTGCTAAGATTTTAGTAAAAAACAAACAAACAACAGTTTTACTGTTAATTTAACAAGTTTATCTGTTGTTGCTGTTAACGGTAAATCATTTTAACTAACTGTTATATGTTTTTACTAAAATTTTTAGTTCATGCTTAAATAATAAATAACATGTTTAATAACTCTTGATAAATTTTGTATAACTCAAAACAATACTCATGCTTTAAGATTTAGCTAAAAGATTTAAAACTAATAAACAGCTCTTTATAGCTATTTATGCTACTTCTACTTACATGATGGATTATATAAATCATTTAAATAATAATTTAATCAAAAAAAAAGGCAAAAAAAATTGAAACGATGCAACGTAAAGTAACACGAACAAAATGTTTTCAAGGGAAAAACTATGAGACTAGACTTAACTACTTTAAATAAACTCTTGAATATAGACGCAAACGTAATGACCTAATCCAAATTTATAATATTTTAATAGAAATAGGATAGTTTTAATTTAGAATACCAACCTGATTTAATAGCTTCAAACACGAGAGGTCACAATATGAGGTTTCATAGACAATTAACTAAAAATCAAAAGAGATATTAATTCTTAACAAACCGGTTATTAACAGCTAAAATAACTTAGATAAAAACCTCGTAGATTCTAAAAAACTTGAAAAATTTAAATCAAAGTTAGACTTATTTTAACATAAATTAGTGATCAAGGCCTAGATTGCCTTGGCTTCGTACATTGTAATTGTACATGTACACAGTTATTATTAAATAAATAAATAAAAATATCATTAAAAGAGATGACACTTACGTAACATTTCTTGTAGTGTTTTTGGAGGCTTTAATAAAATGTTTTAAGACATAAAACTGGATTTTTTTTTTTTAATGTTTTGTATAATGATATTTATTCGCCCTCTCATTACCATTTATTTAAAAGATAAAATGACACTGAAAACGGATCACGGTCCTAGTTAAGTCAAATAAGTTATTACTATTGGTTTGACATTTCTTATAGAAACTTTTCTACAATAATCTCTAAACATATTCTTTCAATTCAGCAAATTTTAAAACCAGTTTTTGTGAGCTATTAAATTATTACAGCTATTATTTGTAACGAACCTTGGTACAAAAACATACTTAATAGGAATGGAACTTTCTAGATCCGTAATCACTAAAGTGATAAAAGTATTAAATGTTTTTTATTTATACATAAAAAATATAAGAAATATAACAAAACAAAGCAAAAATGACATAAATATGCAGGCATAAACTATTTCCAAGTAGAAAAATATAAATATTTAAGTAAGAATCGAAAAACACATTTTTCTTGAGATAAAGGTAGAATAAAAACTTTTTTTGGAACAAAAAAATTATATTTAACGTTAAAAGGGTATTAAAATTACTTATAAAAGCAACTTAATTTATAAGATTGTTTCATTATTATATAAAATCCCTTTCATAATGATCAATGATCATCAATGAGCGAAAAAAAAAAAGAATATTAAAAGTTATTATTGAAAACACTAATTACACATTAATGTGTAATGTACTTTATTTCTTTATATGAAAATTTAAAAATGTGAATAATTAGAAAACAAATAAAAAACTTACTTTAAAAAATGTTGTTTTTAGTTCAAGAAAGTTTCAAGACTTGTTGTTACAAGTTTAGATTTACTCTTTTTAAAAAGCAAAACAAAAATAAATAAGCAACATAAGATAACTTGTTTTGTTTTTATTTAAAAATTCATTTCTTTTCTTTTATTGAACAATTATATGTAGTCAGTTTTAGTAATGAAATCACCCAATAACAATATTTAACAATAAACACTAACGTGAAGGTAAACTAGGTTGTCAATTAACACAAAACATCACAACAACAACTTGACAAAAATATCAAAGAGTAAAACATGTCAGAGTAAACTCTCAATAACTCAACCCTCAACGAGCAGAGAAATTACCCTGTTAGAGAGTAATAGTGTTATTGGGATATAATCCATAAAAGGCTCAACTGCAATTTCAAAATTAATTCAAGTTATTAAGGGTTGTTGAGTTATCCTAAATTTATTGTGCATTTTTTTAAACTACTAACAGCACACAAATAGAAACACATAGATAAACATTTAAAAAATATAAATCCATATAACTTTACATAATACATATTAACATAAGAAATCATATATTAAATATTACAACATCGTATAAAAAACTATATTATGATAACATATAAAAATACAACATTATTTTTGTAATACCTCTTAAATGATATACTTTGCTATGCATGCTTACCAAATTTATAAAACATTTTATCAAATGATTTAGTTCTGGAAAGTGCTGCATACACATTGATAATTAAAAGTGTCTTACATAAACTTGATAGCATTAAAATAAATAGAAAAAATTGAAAACAACACAAAAACTATTAAACAAAAGTATATTAAATATATATATATATATATATATATATATATATATATATATATATATATATATATATATATATATATATATATATAAGTTTATATATATATATATATATATATATATATATATATATATATGTATATTTATATATATATATATATATATATATATATATATATATATATATATATATATATATATATATATATATATATATATATATATATATATATGTATGTATGTATGTATGTATGTATGTATGTATGTATGTATGTATGTATGTATGTATGTATGTATGTATGTATGTATGTATGTATGTATGTATGTATGCATGTATGTATGTATGTATGTATGTATGTATGTATGTATGTATGTATGTATGTATGTATGTATGTATGTATGTATGTATGTATGTATGTATGTATGTATGTATGTATGTATGTATGTATGTATGCGTGCATTAAGGTGGAACACCCCTCATAATTTTTTTTTGAGTAACAACTATTATTTTATAAATTTAACTTTATATATATTTTGTAAATAACAAAATTAGATTAAAAATTATTTTTTTTGTAAAAATGTCCAAAAACCACAAAGTTAATGAAAGACCCCGGCCAGCGTAACTCAAGATCTAAACAATTTCAACAAAATCATTTTCGGATAATTATTCTCGCAAGGTTTTTTTGTGGTATGAGTGGAACAAATTTTTCATATGATTTTTTAAAAAATGCTGGCAGGTGGGACCAAAATTGGGGAAAAATTCACCCAAATTTTGTGACTTCGTTGACCTAATGCAGGGCTGGAATAAATTTTATAAAAAATCTGTCACACCTGTTTACCAATGTTAAAATAGACAACTTAAAATACACACTAAACTGAAGATGTGTAAGCAAAACATAATGGCCTTTTGTTATACGATCTAATATTGTCACGTCAAATGACAATATTACGTATGTTCTTATTGTTATTTTGGGTAAGGCCATGAAGACAATTTTTTAAAAGAATGTCAATACTTAACTTCTTATAAATTGGTTTAAGTTTCCAAACAATTGATATAGGTAAATTAGGGCCAGGCCTATATGTCGAGGTATGATTTGCTTTGTCACAATTATAGAGACATCAACTATTTGTACCTTCAGGACAGTGAGGAAAATGTAAATTTGCATTTTTTGATGAGGCAACATGATAAAGCGTACCTCTTACAGCAGATTTCATACTGTTTAAATTAACTTTGTTTTGGCGAATAGCTATGTCGTTATAGTTTTGGAGACGATCAATAGTTGCATCAGTCAGTTTTTCACAACGACCTTAACTTTTTCCTTTTTTTTAAGGTTACGTGTGCGAGTTTCAACTCTTTTGACGAGTCCAAATCATTCAAGTTTGTTTACTTGTACGCCTTCATAAACATTTTTAATAGTATCTCAACCTTTGCTATCATCATAAAATTCAGTATATCGCAGACTATGTTTTGCAATACCCAGAGCAACGAATCTTACAAATCTTAATAAGATTTCATAAAAAGATTTTTAGTAAAATTAAAAGACTTGCAGGACGTGCAAGAAAACTAGTAAGATCTTTTTAAAGATTGCAAAGTTTTCGTGCGATTTACTAATGAGATTTGTAAGAAATGTAAGATCTTATTAAGATCTGTAAGTTTACGTGCGATTTCTTATTAAGATTTGTTAAAAATGTCAGATCTTAATATAAATAGTAAGATTTCTTAATTTCTTTGTAAGATTTCTAAGTAATAGTATGAATTTTTTTGTAAGATTTGCAATATCTTATAAAATTATTTGTATTTATTCCAATCCTACTAAATTCCGAGCATATTTTCGTTTAGAGAACGCTTACAAATAAAACAATTAAGTACTTTAATTAATTTTTTATCAAAACAGTTTTATAATTAATAATACAACAGTGCTTATGTTAATATTATAATACTTATAATATATAATACATCAAGTCACTTAGGCAAGACTATTCCAAACTGCATAGACACTTTAAATGAGAAAATTGTATTTTAAAACCTTGAAAAGAGTAAGTTATACCGACAAACTATAATAATACTCATTAAAACTTTTAACTAAACTTTTTTCAGGTGCTGAAAAACCAAAACACAAATAACGAAAGTCAACTTTTTAATAAGTGAGAAAACAATGCAGTTTAAAACTGCGCGCAGTTTAACTGTTCAAATATTTCTGTTTTAAATCAAGTACTAACTCACTGATATCGTTTACAGCTGTGTCAACAGCCTGTTCACTAA